CTTCTCCTTACTGAAGACCCAGCGATCACACTTGGCAGTTTCATTCTGATCAAACCCTATCAGATGCTGGTCCTGATTCTCGTAATAACTAAATACGTCACGGCTGCCGTTATGCGCGGGTGACGAAGTAGGAAAGACGGGTTTGTAAGTGTAACACTGGGAGAAATCGGCACTGCCCGTTGTCTCACGGGGGATGCTTGCGTTGACCAGTCTGGCGTGTTGGTCGTTCTGAATGTCGTATGTGTCGTTTTCCAAGCCGGGGACAGCACACCTGGAAATATGATCGAGTTTTAGTTTAGTTTTAGTAGAGCTTGTACGGCGCTCGGAACTGCATAATAAGGTCATATGAGCGCCAGTCAAAGTCTAATGTGTGGATGACACTGGTGAATTTCAAGCATGGAGTTCTTAAGCTTGGGTTGTATAGAACGTTTTAAGGCTCTTCCCTCACTTGGTTTTTTTTTATAAATCCTTTCAGATAATGGATGATATTAGATTTAGAGGTCTCGCCTTTTAAAAGCTGCAACCATGTTTATAGGGGCGTCAAACAATTGTCCATATCATAAGGTATCAAGATAATAATTTGAAGTCTGTCGTGTACTTAAAAATGGGACATTTTGGTGAACGTTGTATATGTTTAAAATTTACATTTTGGCTTAAATAATTGTCTTGATCAAGTATTCTTGCTTTGCGTTATTTCGTGAATTCCAATTGACGCACGTGAAGCCATTCTGGGCCCAGAAAGCAACATTTTGCGTGAGAGAGCAAAACCTTTCTCATTCTTTTTTTTATGAACTACGTTATATTTTTTCTCTCGTTTCATTCAAAACTCAGAATTTGAATTACAATAAAACATTCCTCAAACATGCACTCAATAATCGGGTTAAGGAGCTGAAACACAACAAGGAACAAGAACGCAATGTTGGGCGTAGGGCTTCTGGACAGCTGGCAGACTAAAATATTGTTCAAGGTGTTCGTTCATAAAACGCAGTGCACCAACGGCTTGTACCAAAAATATGAACGAAGTTTGGTCTGTTTGTAGATCTATGTGTGTGTGTATGAGTTGCATTTGTTTGTGTGTGTGTGTGTGTGTGTGTGTGTGTGTGTGTGTGTGTGTGTGTGTGTGTGTGTGAGAGAGAGAGAGAGAGAGAGAGAGAGAGGCGGCAGGGGGGGGAGTGTGTGTGTGTGTGTGTGTGTGTGAGAGAGAGAGAGGGAGAGAGAGAGAGAGAGAGAGAGAGAGAGAGAGAGAGAGAGAGAGAGAGAGAGAGAGAGAGAGAGAGAGAGAATGTCTGATTTGAGCTCCAGTTGTTGGATGGGAGGTCGTGCCAATAAACTATTCTCATTCATATGCTTTTTGGTGAACACCCTCGCAGCAGGGGGAACCGACTGGCTTCGATACGCCCCGAAGACTTTGGTAATCGGTGTGACAACTCGCTTTTTGGTGGGTGTGAACAGTTCGCAGTTGTGTTTCATATTCTGAATCGCACCACCTCACATGAATCATTTTTTGGACGGAATTTAAAGATCTTCAAAATGGCGGACTGTGCCAAAATCGAGTGGGTAGAACATGCATAGCCTAGCCAACCAAATAGGTTTTGATAGCCTTTGCAACTAAATAAAAAAATACATATAGTTTTATTGTAATGAAAATGTTTTCTTCTTTTCTATTTATAGTTACAGTAAAGATGAGACTCTGCAGTAGCGTACTATTTCAAACCAAATAATGAACACGAAATGTCCTTTCACCATATAATGAAACGTACTGGTTTGAACCTGAAAAAAAAAGTACAGGAATATGTTTCTGCACCCCTCTTGGCGTTGAAAAAGTCGTAACCCGTCAACTGTGGAGAACAAATCAACCTTGAAGATAAACGTTGATCTTTATTGATCCTTTAAGAGTAGGCCTAGGCTTCAGCGCCACCTTCGAAAAATTCAGAATCCATTAATTCCTACCAAACTAAAAAATGTTTAATGCGTCCCGCGCGCTCGTATTATTATATGACCTTATACAGTTGCGAGCGCCGTAAAAAGCTTACTGAAAAAATAAAAAAAACAAATGATCCTTATTTACGGAAAATGTACTAAAGGACTTACCGGAAATCTGGTTGCTCCATGTTGAACACCATAGACAGGTTGTGTAGAGCGACGTTGATGCAAGGAAGACAGAGCAGAAAGACATTTAGCTTCTGAAATCGCCCAAAGTCCCCAACACTTCGCAGGAGCTTTTCGTACATCGTTGTCCTCGTGAAACTTCCTTAGTGAGTAGCCTAGTTAGGAGGTTTCTACAGGCGGGAAGAGCTGAGAAGGCAGAAACAGAAATGTCCTTGACCTAATCCATTAACAGAGAAAAAAAAATCTTGCAATTTTTAAACCAGCATAATAAACATAGTTTTGGGGTGAACAGGAAAGTCTGCATGTTCACTATGAAGTTGTGAACAAAAAAATCAATTTTGAAAGCTTTTGGACGTTATTTCTGTTGACTGTCGGATTTGTTTGTTGTTTGTTTTGTTTTTTGTTGTTGGGGGGGGGGGGTGTCTTCTTTTTTTTCATTTCCCACTCTACTAACTCAAACTGAAATCAAATAACAGTTGTATGGAAAAGAAGTTGTGAATCCTAAAACTTTTCAAATCCTCTTCATTTCTCTTTTGTGACCTTGGCCGTTTTTCGTGAGGACAGCATTAGAAAAATACAAAAATAAGATAAAATATATAACACAATTATAAAGACAAAGTAGAACTTGAAAGCAGAAGCAGCAGCAGCAGCAGCAACAACAACAACAACAACAACAGCAAAAAAAATAACAGTAACAACAACAATAACAGCAACAACAATAAAAATAACAACAGCAGCAGAATGCAACAACAACAACAGCAACAACAAGTGGGAAAGCTCGGTCCAGAAATTTTAACAACACTGTTGGGAAACAGCAAAGAAAAATGTTCTCGACGAATCAGATAAAGTAAAAGAGTTATAATTGAGAGAACAAATAATGGTAGGAACAGCAGTTAACAGATTTATACAAACTAGATAGGTAGCATTTGAGGGGAATGACAAACAAGTAAAATTATAGCAAGTGTGTGAGCTAAAAGCAGAGAAAATTACAAGTACAGAAGAAAAAAAATTAGAAAATTACAATACTTGAAATAATTGAAATAATTGAAATGATTGAAATGATTTGAGTACACGTTGAAGAAATAATAATTCACAGTATAACAAGAAGGAAAAAACAATAAATGAGAGAGCACTGCCTACGGGGATTTAAAAAAAATATTTAAATATATTAGAATAAGACAAAAAAGAAACTTTGGTAATCTCAAACCTCTCTTCCCTTAGTTAAATGTTAATGGTCATAACAAACCCTGCACATCTCTAGTCTCCCTGTTCATGCTATTTGAGTTAGTGCTGAGATGTTCATTAGAAGATTAGCCCTTTTAGTAGGAGAGAAGATACTTATTTAAAATTGATATATACAATAGACTCCATGGAAAGAACAGTTTGACAGTCACATTATCTTTCTTTCGCGTTTCTTGGTGTTCACGGGTTTTGATCAATAACACACCAACCGAAGAAAAGCTGAAAGAACAACACGCATACCATGTTAGTGATAGTAGGCCTAATTATGATAGTTGTCATTTTAAATAACGATTGAAATTATCCTACTTGTAGGTGTTATTCTATGCAGTCAGCGTCCACTTGAGTTCGCTGTTTTATGTAGATCTGATAGCATACACTCTACACTCTACACTCTAGACTGTGTGGTGTCTTGTGTAGTTCTTATCATTGTTTGTATTTTTGGCTTCTTGCCTGTCATTTATTGCCAACATGCACAATTTATTTGCGTCTCTCGACTGCATTACACAGCCTTTTTATTTATTTTTTGTCTGTGCTGCCCTAGAATATAACAGGGCACGTTCATGTCGTGTTGTTTGTTTTGTCTTCGTAAGGTTTTACTTCGCTCGCATCTGCATAACGTCAAATGAGCACCAATTCATGTGGTGTAACGAAAGACAGGGGTATGATAATATATTGGTGCCTGGAACGAGCAGACTACGTTGAACCCACTGTTTTTGATCCTCGTTATGTCCTTTAACCAATAACCATACATGTACTTTTATCACGCAAACAGAAACAAAAATGGACCTAATGACAATTGTGATTAGGGGGCAAAAGCAGGCATAGAGAAATAAGGGAAGACCTCCTGCATCAAACATCAGAAACGTTAAATTCGACAGTGGTCCAAAACTTTGTGAAATGAAACAAAAGTAGATATCGGGGAAGACAAAAGCCTGTACAGTTGGCGTGAAGTGTCTGGCACCAAGGGACGAACAAAACCATGTTGACTGGTGACATACTTAGAAATGTCTTGACTCACAATAAAAATGTAGTATCACATTGTGTCAGAACTGTCGAAGAATGATTATTATAATATTATCGGAATTGCCAGAAAATTATGATCGTATCAGAACTGCTGTGGTTTCTTCTCAGTCCATCTTCCATAACCATTTAAATTAGCTCACTGATTCCATGCCTCACTTAGATATCACGATCGGCGATGACCTAACACCCCAGAGTCTTCCTCTTTTATTAGAGAAGCTAATTAAAAAAGAAAATGTTTTCATCGAAATGGCAACGAGAGAATGAATGAATAACTTATGAACGACATAGCGTTTGCCAGAGAAAAAGAGAAAACATCCCAAGAGAAAAATAAAGAGCGGAGGAGGGAGTGGAGAGAGGAAAATGGGGATATAAAGAAAGAAGACAGATGGAGAATGTGTTTGAACGAACGTTTTTCTTGTGAGATAGGCGACAAGTATATATATATAGAGAGAGTAAGAAAGGTCGAGAGAAAGAGAGAGAGGGGAAAAGGTCGAGAGAGAGAGAGAGGGGTGGAGGAGAGAGAGAGAGAGAGAGAGAGAGAGAGAGAGAGAGAGAGAGAGAGAGAGAGAACGAAATGTTTCAGACATACCTGCCTGCATTTCACGAAGCTTCGTTAGACATTAACAAAACCTACCTGTAATCTTGTTAATATTTTTCCTCTATATCTTTCTCATTATCAGGTCTTTTTTTAACACCCACAAGGAATTCGGGACAGGATGCTAAGGCAAACAAACACGTTTAACTCTCTAGAACCCACTGGTTCATATTGAACCATGGCGTCCACATTTGTATCCGACGGGGAGGGGGTAGTTTTTTATGTTTGGTTGTTGTTGTTGCTTTTTTAGTTGTGAGTTGCTTTTGTTTGCTGTTTCTGGAAGAAGGGCGAGGATTTGGGGGGGGGACAAATTATATTATTAAACCATTATGTTGACTTCAAATGTTTCATAATATTATATTGCCCTCGTAACAACAGCGTTATATGTCATAATTTTCTGTAAAATATCATTTATGTTTTGTAATGAAGGCACTAAAGGGTTAAAAAAGGAGTAGCGATGGCATACGTGGAAGCAGCATATAATCGTCGGTGCCAGACTTTTTCCGTGTGTCCACCGAGTGGAAATCGGTCAAGCAATTTTGGGGGAATAAAAACTCTCACCACAATGTCCCCAGCAGCAAAGGAACAGCAGATAATTTTTTTAAATATCTGGAACTACCCGGTTCCAGAACTTGTTATCACTAGGTCATGCTACCCCGTCATCTATGCGGGTCACCTGTTCACGTATGCCCCCATCCTTGCATTGTGCTGAGCCAACTTCAGGTGAAATACAACCTAATAAAATGCAATACGTGCATTGCCTACATACAAGTGTCATTGAGATGAACTGACAGGGCAGTATGACCCGGAGATTGCGAGTCATGGAGACATCTTGCTCTGCAGCACCGCTTGCTCCTTTGTTACCGAGAGGGAGAGGTATTTTTAGTTTTCCTGTTATATTCTTATATACTTTGTTTTTGTTTTTGTTGGAGTTTTTATTGTTGTCTTTAGTTTTGTTTTGATTTTGTTTGTTTTTTGTCTGGTTGTTTGTTTGTTTGTTGGGGTTTTTTTTTGGGTTGTGGAAAGGGGGGGGGGGAGAGATTGTGCAAGGAGACAACTGGCATTGGAGTGTGGACTGTGGATTGTCTATGTTTGTGATAGTATAGCATTCGTGCATTCGTGTATTAATGTGCATAATGTAAATAAGTATCCAAAGGCGACCTGTAAAGTAGAAAAATATATAATTTGTATTGAATTTCGTTTACATTTGCTGTATTAGGTAGATATTTGAAAAATAATTTTAGCAGATAACTTCCAAAGATAATACAATGACAGCAAGACTATCGTCAGTTAGTAGCGACTGTACTGGAGGTCGAAAGCAATATTTATGTTAATGATTATAGGCAAGAAGCCCAAGTCGCAGGTCGGATTAACTTATAGCTCTGTAACAGTCCACAGTGCCGCTCAAAGCGGTTGACTGTTTCCTGTGTTTTGCAGCAGAGACGCTCAGAGGGTCCCTTTTCTATTATTGCTACCTTTCTTCACATCGCTTTCCTCACTTCTTTTTTCCTAACCACGTAGATCTACATGTCAACCCTAGTTTCTGGAGTCATTGAATAGTTTGTTTATCTTGTTCTGAACATTTTTATTTGCCACATACAGGGTGTTATCAATTTTATATAATTTCTTTATTTACTTTTTGTGAGACCACCGGTGAGGTCACGAAACTGTCACAAATTGTGAGGCATCTTGGAGAAATCAGGCACTCGTCAAAATAATAAAATTGAAATCGAAGAAATTGACATTTTTCTGGCCGTTGGTCAATTTTTTATCTAATTTTCTTTTTTTTATTTTTCTCAACACTTTTAAAACCACTTTTCTGTGTTGATTTTACTGAAAAGCATTAATTATAGACACAAAAATGTCTGGATCGATAACAACAACAAGACACAAAAATGTAAAAAAAAATTTTCCATGGACTATCAAGCTATGGAAATTTTTAAACTTTGGGGCCATTTCCTCGCTAATTTTACCTCTGAAACCTGACGACCCTGACATCCTTTAATCCCAAACATTTCGACTTCAGTTCAAATAGATGGATAATTATTTCACCTAAAGTAAGACACATGAATAGGCCTTAAGATGATACCAATAAGCCAATATACCCAAGAATTGACGAGCGCATGGTTTCACCACGCCGAAACACACATTTTTTGCGTCCTGGGTCTCGAATATCTCGCGTGCAAGAGCTCGAGAAAAATGGGTGAAATGTGTTGAAATGCCCAGGCTATCAAAAGATAGATTTAAAAACTGACACTATGACCATTAATGTAACTCAATAACATAAATTTCATGAGGTCAGAGGCGAAGCGTCTATGTAATCAAATAATCACTGCTTCCCTTCCTAATTTTGAAACATTGTCGCAGTCAAATTCACCCATAAACGTAGTCTTCATAAATTAAATGTAAAAAGACGTTCATAATCAACAATGAACAGTATGCCTAACATTCTAAACGGTTTCATTGCCACAGAAATAGCCTGTTCTCCCCTCTTGGGCCACTCCATAAGCAGTCACAAGCTTTGATTAAGT